TCATTTTCTGTAATTGATAGTAATGCAACTCTTGCTTTTAAGGAAGCTGTTCTTTCATTTCGCTTATATATATATTTTTTCTAGTTCAACAATTATTGGAACCTCAACACTAAACGTCAGCAAAGCGCCATGTCTGTCAACTCACCGTGTTTTGCAAAGTAAAAGCAATTGTGAAGTTAGCACGCTCTTTATAAAAAAATTTCATTTTGAAAAAGCTTTGAAAAAATCAAAAACTTTGCCATTAACCCCCAAACACTTATGATATTTTAACTTCTAAGTATTATTTATATTTTAATAGAATATCAGATAAATATTCTTTGTTTAAAAAGGTAACAAAGCTTACCAAGTAATTTTATAAGTTTATAATTTTACAAGTTCAGAAATAATTATGTCATTAATTATGTCATTAAATTTGGTTAAGGGATAGGAAAATTTAAATAAAACACATATTAAAACACAAAACATTAAAGAAAATTTTCAAAATATACCTATTTCGGCATCATTGTGTATCTTGAGTAAAAGATTGCCTTCTCAAACAACAATTAGTGGGCTGAGTCCTTTAAACCTATCAGAAATATTTATGAAGAGGGTCTTTAATACATTAAATTTTACTTTAAAAAATGACTCTAAAGTTAGTTTGATCTAATTGTTTTGATGTCTTCACAACAATTATGCAAAGATTTGGTAGTTATTGGATCTCAAGTTACAAAAAAAAAAATGTAAACAATACTGTAAACGAGATGTATCACATCAGTAGCATTTTGGAGAAAACTGAAAGTATTTCACAGTGAAATTAGCAAATAAATTATTTTCAACACTCATTCAGTATAGTTAGAAATATATTTTAGTTAGTTATAAGCTAGCTATGAACATCTGTAAAAATTCTAAAACAGTTTTGTTGTGTTTGTGCATTCGATTTCTGCATCAATTGAAAAGACTGCAATCACTTTATGACCTTTATCATTGACCTTCATAATATTTCTCGGCAATGTCTTTATGTAGTATTTTTGCCAAGGATATATAATTTTGGAATGAACAACAATAGTTTTTTTAGAAAATCTTAATTCTGTTAGGAAACCAGATTTCATAGAAGTGAATTCAGCAATTTGATTTTAAGTTTGAACAGGTAACCCTTTTTATGAAATTTCCTTTGATATTCTAAGACCAAAGCAGGCAGCGTCTCTGATTAACCGGGCATTTGATGAAAACTCAGCAATTATAGAAATTATTTGATCTTTTCTAGAAATTATTTAATAATTTCGAGAAATTATTTAATATGTTCCAAAAATTCTATCTAGAATTTGACCACCACCCATTATCACCTGTTTCTTTTAACCTTTTGTATTTTGCAGGTCAATTTATTAGCTAAGAGCAGATTTCTAACCACGCAGTTTTCAGTTCTATTTATAAGTCCAATTAGGTTCTTGACTGCGATAACATTTTTAACAATGTTCATTGGAGTGATGATTAAGGCATGAACATAGTATCAAATGTACACTAAGTAGAAAGCAGCATTTTTTATGAATTTTTTGAACGCTGTTTTACCACGCATGTTAGCGACACCGTTCAAAGATTCTCCTATTATATATTGTAGAAAACAATAAAATAAGAAAAAAGAAAGTATAATTTCTATTTCAAAATTTTAATTTTCTGTTTTATATTTTGAAAATAGAAAGTATACTTTCTACTTTCAAAATATTGCTTTCAAGAACTGATTTCAATAGTTAAAACAGTGTAGATCCTTAAGAATTCTGAATTATTTTGATCGCAAAAAGATGCCTTTTTACATCCTCCTTCAACATTATAGGACAAAATAAATAATTTTTTATCAGCAACAGATGTATCTTGCATTTGAACAAAAAACTTTTTTTTGTTCAAATGCAAGATACATCAGTGAATAATTTTTCTTTCGAAATAGATTCGATTGCTGAAAGAATGGCGTTTTGTAGTTTTTGACAACAGACTTGTTAGAAGACCTCGCACTTTAGATTTTTTAATTTTTATGCACTTTAAAGTTTTTTTCCTTTTTCTAGATGCCTTTGCAACGTTCTCCATACGCACAGTTGAAGGTGCATGAAACTGATTTTTGTACGCATAAGTTTACTTTTGGCGCTTTATAAAAATGGATGGTGTCCTTCAAGTTTAACTTCTTTAGTAGTAGTTTTTTGCACCTTGTGTTTATTTTGTGTTACTTTAGTTAGAGTTATTAGTAGTTTTTAAATTTTTATAAAATTGGAGGCAAAAATTGCATAATAAGTCATCTTGCCACGGTCACGTGATCAGATGAACTTTTTATTTTAATATTTATTTCAAATTGTTATATTTGCAAATTGAAACTTCATGCAGACAATGAATCATTTTAATAACATAAACATACAGAGAAAGTATAATTGCTTCACGACTGATAGTTTTGCAATAACTCAGGGCTTTCAAAACGTTCGCCATGTTGCCCCGCTTTCCCTATTTTTAAGTGTTTTATTTAGTAGGTTGACAGCTGCGACCCGGTTATACTGGTTAATTGAGAAAATATTAAATAAAAATTATACTTATTCTTTGCCCTCACTCTTGAGACCAAGAGTTGGGTTACCACTCTTGAGGCTATTAGTAGGGCTATTACTCTTGAGACAATGAGTAGGGTTGTCACACTTGAGACCATGACTAGGGTTGTTGTTGTCTTTATTTTTCTGTAAGAAAATGCAGCGTTAAAAAAATAAAAATAATAAAATATATAAACAATAATTTACGTAACTTGTTGTGTTTTTTTCGGACTTGCTAGTACTGAACTAAATTCCTAATGCCATATTTTATCAATTTTTTATAATATCATATATTGTGTTTTTATGGATTTTTGTGTTATTCAAAATAAAAAAAAATCTTTTTTTCCAACCATTGATCGGAAGTTAAAGTATGAAATCCGAACCTTAAAATTAGGGGGGCTTAACGCAGATCTAATTTGATTTGCATACAGTAAATACAACTCCACACCTGCTGTTTATTTGTATTATTTTAATTTATTTGCATATTATTTTGCTTCTTGCTGTGCTAAAATGTATAAAAATAAAGGAATTACTTGCCATCAACTCTTTGTCCGCATTTGCGCTAGTTAAACATGAGGTTATTATATTTTTCTTTGTTTATTGTTGCATTTTTCTTTATACAAACCTAACTTTCCTCTAATAACTTGTCATTTTTATTCATTTTTATTGTCTAACTTTCATACCGCCTCACTTTCTGTCTGATAACAGTTTCTTGCGACCCAAAAATATCTCTGCGTTATCAACTTTACATAACATTATGCACTTACTCCCAAGCTCATATGAGCTTAAATATTAGGTAAAATAATAATTTGTTAATAAACAAATAAAATGAAAGACTAAAAAAAGAAAATATTACTAGTTATTGAATCAATAATTTTACAAAAACTACTATTAACTTATAATATTATTATTTCAAACTAATATTGTACTAATATTTATATTTATACTAATAATATTTCAAATCACTATTAATTATTGTATCTAGTTGTTTAATAAACGAAATTTAAGGCAATTTATTGAAAATTTTCTGGCAAACCTTAAAAACTAATAATATATATTTAAAATATAGAACTTATAAAATTAGAATGTATAAGTATAAAACAAAAATACATGTATAACTGTTTTATTTTGCCTGTTTTATTTTGGTTGACGTGTTTCCTGAAAACAATTATAACTTTTCCTATATTTAAAATGTTTTAATTTAGATTTTGTATAAAGACTTAGGGCTTTAAAATTTATTCAAGAGATTATATTTATAGGTTTATCTGGTAGGTTCTTTATCTTCTTTCTTATCTTCTCGTTATCCTCTTTATCCTCTTTCTTATACATATTTTTAAACACCGCAAATGAAAGGTACCTTACGGAATCACTTTGAAGAAAAAAGCCGAAAAGAGATATTTTGACGGAAAACAAACATGAAGCAACTTTTGAAATCTCCGATTAATTTTGCAATAGAAGAAGATGAACTACTGCTCAAGTTTGAAAGCCAATTATAATATATAATAACTATTTATAGATTATATATAATTATATAATACATAGTATACAATATATATTTAATTATATCGTACATAATATACATACTATATAATATATAATAATGAAGCAAACACACACACACAAAAAACAAACACACGCATACACAACATTAAACGTTGCTTTATCTTTTAATAATTGAAAAATTAGTAACGTCTGCTTGCAATTGCAATCAATATGTTTGACATATGCTTTTGTAATTAAACATTTTTGATTGGATAAAAGTAAGTAATTAAAAACTATTGTTTTACTTTTTTTGGTTAAAATATTATTTGATTAAATCCAGTAAATTAATTCTTAGTGATCGGCTTTTTGTCTTTTTTAAAAGGAAATTACTACCGTTAAAATAGTTATTTTAATCTAAATAACGTAAAATTTGTTTGTTTTTAGAAAATTTAACTCCAAGTTTAGTTAAACAGGGGAGGTAAAGTGACGTTTTTTGTTAATTTTCAACGGCGGTGAAACTGTATTTGTTTATTGTTATTATTTTTGACAACTTTTACATAGAGAATGCGCAAAACTATTATATATATAGAGAACGCGCAATACTATATATTTGTCGGCCCATTAATTACCTCCCATATATCTCATCACATGGCAATTGTAAAAAATATTTTTGCGCCGACAGTAACTGATGTCAAATTTATTGAATATTTTTTAAATTTTATTAATTTAAATTAAAACAAAGATATTAAACGGAAATTACAGTTTTGCAACTATGTAATAGAATATTTTTATTAATTATTAAATTATGTAATAAATAGCAATGAATATTTATCTTAAAAAACAAACAAACAAAAAACATTTACAATATAGTAAATATTTATGATGGTTTTCTTTGATCCATTTATGTAGCTAACAAAGTATATTAATGATTAGTTTAAAAACCATTCAATTTTTAACTTTTCGCTATGTATCATGTCTAGAGGCGGCTGTTAAAAAAAAATCAATTTTATTGCATTTTATAATTAGACATTTAAATGTGGCACAAGCACGCGCAGTTTTAACATAATGCAAAACAGTTGTTTTTTTTTTGTTTTTTTTTATCCACTTAACAATGTTACATACAGCATTTTGTAAACATAAAATGTTTATATAATCATTTATTATTTGAATTATTCACTGTTTTTAAATACGTCGCTGAACAAAAATTTTAACCTTGTGCTCTTAGGTAAGTCTCTGCATTTGAATTTTTAAATAAATGAAAGAAAGGTTTTAGTAGTAAATACCTAGAAAACCTAAAAATATGTCATTACTTTGATTTGTTTTTATTATTGTTTTTATTAGTATTAACACATTTATTTATTGTGTATGATTTTTCACATAAGCAAGAAATGTTTGACAATTGTTATGTAATATTTATGAAATGTTTTACATATTTGTTATTCGATTTAGTATTTAGCTAATTACATTTAATATATGATCAGTTGTCACTATACAATATGATTCTGAATTATATACCATCTAAGTGATTTTGATTTTAAATTACCAAGGCTTATAAAAATAATTAAAAATGCACCGCTGCAGGTGAACAAACCAATAATAACCCCATGCAAATTGATGAAATCTTAAAAAAACTACTTTTTTTATTCCATTCAAGTTATTTAAAGAAAATTACTAGTTACAAGCAATTAAAAGGTTTTTAAAAATTTATTTTAAATTTTAAAAATTTTAAAATTTGTTCTACTTGCATCATTTGATATAAAATGGTATGAAAAAAAATTAAAACTAAACAAAAAAGCGCGAGAACTAAAAAAAAAAGCTTCCTTTTACAAAACCAACGCAAAAGTAAAACATGATCATATTTGCATTTTCCAAAAATATTACAAATATTTCAAAGATACAAGGAACAATCGAGTGTTTGCGTGTTTTCTTAATGTCGCACTGCAATTTACCTTATAAATAACTACTAAATACATTGATAACATTATTTACTTTTACATTATAACTAAATAATAATCACAAAAAAAAATATTTGCTAACAATAACAAATAATTGTTTTTATAATTTTTATTTATTTATTGTTGTTTTTTTTAATTTAGTGTTTTACGTAATAGTAACTTGAAAAGTCTCAACCTCGAATTGAAATCAACATTCAAATAGTTTTAAAAAAACATTTAAATAACCTGGATTGTTAATAAACTTTTTAAAAGTTATATTTATAACGGGTGTTAAAATGATTTACGATGCCGAAAATGAAGAAAAAATATTATTTTCAAGACCAAGATCAATGTCAAATCGTGACAATCAGTCTTTGAAAAAATTTAGTAAACCCCCAGTAATAAAATATATATCAAAACAATTATCTAAAAGAAACAAATCAACTGATTCAGAAAAAATAACCCGAAAACGCTCTTCGACAACATCATCTTTGCTGCAGTTTTTTAATATCGATTTTTTTCAAGCAAAAGAGAAGTTTTCACCAAGCAGTTCACCATCGAATGGTTCACCAAACGTTTCACCCTATCCAAGACGCAAAAGTTTTAACTTTTTTCGATCAAAGAAATCTATAGATGAATATATTACTACGAATAGATTAGAAGATTCTAGGTCTACGGCAATAGTCAACAGAAGTCTATCGTTAGGTAATGTTTTAGAAGGATTACCAAAAAATATAAAAATTGAAAAACTAAAATCAAACGGTTTAAAACGAAAATGGAACAGTCTTCCTTGCTTACAAACACGTAGATTTTATGCTGTAACAGCAAGTCCTTTAGTGTTTGGAGCCTGTTCTGAAAGACCTCGCGTTAACGACTTGAAGGTAGAACGAAAACAATCTATCAAGGTTTTGCTGAAACAAAGACAAAACAGTTATGGTTCAAGTAAGATCATAAACCGCCGTAGAAGCTCTGGAGGTACAGAAGACATCTATATTCCAGGAAAAATATTAAAATTTGATAATGAACGTCTGGAACAACTTGTTTCTATTACTTTAGAAAAAAGTACTGTGCACATGTCTTTTGACAACGAGCTTTGCGGAATTCGGTGCCGTAGAATAAGTAAAAACTTAGAAGAAGCAGTCAAAAGCAGTTTGCAGAACGACGAAAACGTTTATAAAGTAGTTGCTCAAGTGTTTATGGGTGAACTTATTGGGTATGGTATTTGTTTTGCCACACAGTGTACATATCAATTTTTTGAAGACTACTTCGCTACTTCAACGTTTCAAACGGTCGATATGTTTGTATGTGCTATTGTTGTTGTTGAAAAAGTATAACTTAAATCTACATTTCTATATTTTTTTATCTTTTTTTTTCAATAAAAAATAGCCATAAATATACAGTAAATAATTTATGCATTTTTAAATATTGCCCTATTTTAACGAATCTTTTTTTATGGAGTTGAGAAAAGTTAGGTTTAAGCAAAACGCGGTTTTAAAAGGATTTTTACACAGTTTTGTTTGAAAAAAGGTTATAAAAGTGTAAATTCGCTGTGAGAATAATAGTTTTATTAACTTAATTGGATATTTTATTTGATAAAGGATAAACGTTATTCAGGATTGGAATATTCTTGAAGTTTTTATTCAATATATATATATATATATATATATATATATATATATATATATATATATATATATATATATATATATATATATATATATATATATATATATATATATATATATATATAAATATATATATATATATAAATATATATATATATATATAAATATATATATATATATATATATATATATATATATATATATATATATATATAAATATATATATATATATATATATATATATATATATATATATACACACACACACACACACACACACACACACACACACACACACACACACACACGCATATATAAAATTGTTACGATTTAAATCTGGAAAACGTTTATATCCTACTTAATACTTAATATTAAATAAAAACAATTTATTTGGTTGATAAGTGATAACTTTTAGTTAAACAATTTATTATGTCATGTAGCAACAAGCGTTGTATAAAAATACTATTTTTAACTGAAAATTTTATTTAATTACTGACAGGGCCTACGACACGGGTTTTGAAGAGGGGGGGGGGGGGACACAATTATAAATTTGTGAAAAAAGTCCTCTATATAACAAAAAGTATTTATCTTACATTAACATCTAACAACAAAAAGTATTTATCTTATCAACTTAGTGTTCAAAAATATAATTCTTTTTATAACAATAACTTAAAAGTAACTTATTTTACTTTTAAATTTTTGTTATAAAGGTAAAAGAAACCAAATGTCAATTAAAGTTTACTATTGATATAAAAACGAAACAAGTTTGAAAATGAAAGTAATTTGTTTATAAAGTTTACCACCTCTGTTTTTTAATTGTTTACACATTCTGAATGGAATAAATTATTTTTTTAAGATGGCTAAATAAGGCCGAATATTTCAAAAAATGATACTAAATATAACAGTTTTTTGGGGCTAAAAGTTATGATTATTTATGCAAAAACGCCTTTTGTAGAAAAATTAACACTACTATTGTTTATCTGAATCTAATGTAACATTGTTGTTAAACATACTCATTTAGGTGTGGTATTGAAAATAATAACTTCAACTTTCATAAAAATAATAATTTTTCATGGATAATTTGTCCAAATAATGTCTGATTATAAATGTTATATTCATTAAAAACAAACACCAATTCGTGCTTTTATGAAGAAATCAAATCCATAGACTTATCTACAAGTCCCAAGGTACTTTATGTTGAAAATTACATCTTTTCTAAATAGACTACGCTTGACGATTTGATATAGTCGCATTACTTTTACCAGGTTTTAATAGCGGTTAAAATAATCTTTCCATACATACCAAATATTTCATACCTTTTGATGGAAAAATTTACAAAAATTGTAATTGAAAAAACTTATATTTTTGTTCAGAAAAATGTGTATCTTGCCTTAGTTGCATTGAGTGTGAGGGCTATTAGATAAAAAAAATAAATAGATTTAACAATGGACAACGTATAGCGCGCCAAAGTTACGTCACAACCCACTATTAATAAACTAAATCGCCATATTATTTTTATTTTTGATTAAAAGGATTTTAAAAGATTTTTATGTTTTTTATAATTTGATATAGTTGCTTTTTTTTTTCTTTCTGATCTATAGTTTTTAAATTTAGAATGAAAAAAAAGTATTCAACAAGCATTCAAAAATACAACCCCTTCTTTAAAAACGTATTACGCTTAAGTCGTACATTACAGAAATCCCAATGCGCGAATATATTCTTTGAACTTATGTTATTAGTGTTAATAAAATAATGATTATATATAATCATTTTTTATCTAATCATATTCTTGACGTTCTTAAAACGACAGTCAGTGATATATAATAAAAAAAATTAAAAACAACTGATACCTGACTATTTTTAGATTTGTCTAGATATTCCTTGACTAACAGACGTATATCAAAACAGGTGAGAGAAATTTTCCAAACTTTAAGCAAGTCTATTGTCTACAGTGGAAATTGTTAACACTGTTGACAAATGTTTGTTCTTACAACAATTGTGTACCGAATTCCATATTGTCAAACTGTTTCTCTCATTATGAGTTTACTGGTGATTTTTAGAACAGCAGCATAAAGATCTTCTAACAAATATGATTATCAATTTAACCCAGTTAACGAGCATACTTAAAATATCTTGTTCAATAGTCTCAGTGGCGGATTGAGGTTTAGTGTTGCGGGGGGGGGGGGGGGGCAAGTCAATAAATAGGGGCGACCGGGGTT